GACGTAATTCTGGACTTCTCTATTTTCTCGCCTTCGACTGTAATCTCCGTCATAGGACTGAACTGGTTTCTCATCCATTTCGTTTTGGAGAGGTTCATCTCGAGTCCAATCTCCTTTGATTTATTCTGAAGTTGAACCAGCTTGTCCTGAAGCTCTCTTGCGTCTTGTGCAAAAATGACGCAATCGTCCGCAAAAAGCAAATGCATTGAGATTTTCGCCGTCGATTTCGATTATTTGCATATAAAATTCCGATACAATCACTAGAGAATATAATATTAATATAAAATTCAGATAAAACCACTAGAAACGCCCGAATAAGATCTAGTAGACTGGCATAATTAGAGGAGCATTCGAAGAAGCGACGCCTGGTACGCGGCGGAATGCGTGCAGTTGGATTGAGATGCGAACACACACTGGCCATGCATTCGGAGGTCCCGCTATACCCGCGATCCTTATCATTAATTTCTAACTTGAGCTTCAGGATTCGTACCCGCATCTTCCGCTCACCGGGTGGTTGCTTTCCCCAGTAAGCTACCGGGAGCGTAATAGGGAACCAAGCGTAATAGGGAACGCAACTGCCCGGTAAGCAGAAGATGCGGGTTCGAATCCCGTCCGTGGTCCGACTTTTGCCCACAACTCAGCATTCTTGTGATAACTTTCGGATCGCGCACTGCGGCGTTAAACAGCAGTTATCAAAATAACAGCTTTGATGAGATAGTACTGTTTTCTGAAGTTCCGATGTATTATATTTTTCGTGGGAAGTTGCAGGTATGATGAGGTAAGGAAGTGGATGAAAAGCGAATTTTGCCCAAATGGAGTGAATCATTAGACGACGCTAGCGGAGAGGGCTCGTTTCCTTTGTTCCCATGTGCCTTGATAACCACGAATGGGAAGCATCACGGAATTCATAACGCGTCTGAAACGGGAAAAATCAGTCACAAGCGGATTGTAATAGTGTGCGGTATAGCGGATGATGCCCCTCTCGATCATGTAATAGTCATAAAGCTCAGAGCAATTTATTGTTTCTTAGAGATAGAACATTAAAATAGTAAACAACAACAACAGAACTATCAGAATATGTCGCTGGTCCGTGGCCCCTTATATTAGCCGTTTCGCGTCCCGCGCCCATTGATAATTCTATTGTTTTTGGCGGAGGTGGTGTAGTGACAAGTGGCGCGCTTACCACTCGCGCGGCGCCGGGTTCGAATCCCGGGTCGACTCCCAGGCCAACCAAGCCTTCTACCCTCCGGGGACGGTAAATTGGTACCAGATTCGTCTGGGAGGATAAAACACTGACTTGTACATCGGCTGGCCACCGCAAGTCATTGTATAGGCCACATCGCATTCAATAAGCCACTACGATTCTGAATGGAAGTAGAATGCGTGCCGCATCCCACAAAGGGATTGATCAACGGCGAAGACTTTATCCTTTTATCCTTTATATTATTATTATTATTATTATTATATTATTATTATTAATATTATTGATTCATCTGACATTTCCCGCTGACTTCATACACCTTTTCCAGCTGGCAATTTAAGCGAATCAGAGTCATCAGAAGAGGAATTCGTAGTGTCACACCATCATGTGTATACTGGGCACGAAGCAAGGAGTAGAGCAGCAAGTATTGGTAAGTATTCTGTTCAGTCGCATCACTTTTTCCTTCGCTTTTCCTTGTTTCCCCTCCCATTTGGAGGTCAAAGACGTCATAAGCCCTCAATTTCAGTGGGGCAGGTTCACTTCAAGGTACCGAGGATGTATAGTCATAGTCTCTGCAAACGACAGGGGTTGTGAAGGGGTGTGAGTCGGACCGCAGCCAGGACAGCCCTTCCCGCCAATCATAGCGGACTCCGGATGGCATTATTGATGAAAGGCTGCCTTGGTAGCGCTATAGTCCACTCCCCCTCACACACCCTATCCTTTTCAAGAACCAGAGCATTTTCAAATAAATTTCTTCAATGGACAAAACAAACCAGTAAGGTCCCAACGCCCCCTTTTTGTGCCGCTCTAGCTAAATGGGATGGGTAACAGGGTAGATATGACCAGTTCAGAGCCTAACAGATTAGGCACCTGAAAAGTTGATGGGTGAGCTTTGTATCTTTCCTTTCCTTGAAGTTACTTCCCTTACTTTTATTTCCTTCCAAATTACTTCAATTTTCAGCTCCTCCACCAATCAAGGTCGTATCCGTACGAACGTTCCTGTATGATATATTGAAACATCTTCATCCGCTACCAACTGACTGGCATGAGCAAGGTTGGCTGAGCAGAATCCTCAGCGTGATAAAGGTACATTAACTAGTTTAGCTTGCTTTGAGTAAGTTCATAGTCCGCGATTTAGCCGGTCGCGGACGCTGATCGCTCTGTTGGCGTGACCGAATCGCAAGCGCGATCAAGGCGACAGGATCGTCAAAGTATGCTTCTCTACGGAGGAGATGCTACCGACAGAGGCATTGAGTACGCAAGCTGACTGAGCCATGCAATGAGGTTCAATGTGTGGCATGAATTTAAGCGACTTTTATCCCAATCCTAGACCAAGAGGACGTCAACACATTGAGAGCCTCGAACTTACGTCCCACAAAACACCCGCCAGGCCGCCCGGCCACAAAATGCGACGACCCCGTTCCTGAGCTCGTACTTCATTTCATTTGGCATAAAGTTAAAGTCTATAAACGAAGGGAACCACCTGATATCGAACAGTGGGTGTGGCATTGTTTTCATGCACTAGAGGTACACATATGCAGCCAGAATCTTCTCCGCTCCAGTCAGGTAGCGGTATTGATTAACATGCTTAGGTGAAGGGTGGGGAAACTCGTCCGAAATCGATTTACAAGTCACTGAGAACGGAGGCTTTTTCTTCGCAGGATTTTGACCGTTTCACTCCGTTCTTTCGCCATTTCCACTATACAGCGCCCTACTAGCATTTTAGGCTAAGTAGGAAACCATCGTGCCAACTGCCTTTAATCAGATGCTCATTCCGCATAATCGCATGGACAGAGGAACAGGTGAGAGCCCACGAGGATTTCCACCTCCTCGTTTTTGCGCCGCTGCTCTACCGTACTAGGAGGATGGGGGCACCACCCAACTGAGGCACGCATCGGTGATTACGAGGATTCCGCTCGCTCGGTTCCTACGGGAATGTTTAGTTCAAGAAACTGGAGAGAGTATGTTTAAAGAAGCGGATCAGCAACGAAAAACCTAGGTTTTGGGTACTGCATGGCCTCACTCATACGAGGTGGATAAATCAGATACGAAATATCAAATAAATCAAATCCACCTCAGTACTCCCTGAAATAGTCAGGAGTAGAAAAAACCTCACAGACTATGGCATCGACTTGTCACATAGAAACCACTCTAGAGTCAAGTACTGAATTGCTAATATATTTTCTCCGTTCGGCAGCAGAAACACTCCAGAGGCATCGGCGTACCCTGCGACGGCGAAAGAAAGACTTGATGCCACTTTATTACTCA